CCCCTGTGTCCTGTGTCGCTATCAGCTCTCTTTTGTGGGCCCCACACAGACTTTCTCTCCAGGACAATGTCTTTATTTGAGTCCGTTCTCTTTCCTAAATCTTCTCTCATCTATAGTTAACTGTGTTTTTTGCCCTCAATCCTTAAAGTCTTTTGGGAGTCTTAGCGAACCAATCTTCTAAATTAGCCATGTGAAAGTATTAAATAGGAGGATACGATAAAGAATGACAAAATACAAAGACAGATAATGTATTGCTTCCCACAAAACAAAAGAAGAAAAACAAAGAAAAAGAAATATGCTGGTTAAGCTCAGACTCTCTGAGCAGAGTAGAATTCTGACCTTATGGTAGAATTTTTGGCAGTGTGCTGTTAAACCAAATCTCTGTGGGGAGAAGAGGGAGGGGCTCTGATTTATAGCACTTACCAATTTCCATGCTGTAAATAACTCCAATTATGGCCTGACTTCAAGCTACTGATGATTTAACAAATGATCCACAGAACTTCTAATATTTAACCATGGGTTCTTGCTCGCCCCGAGAGGCTAGCAGGAGCATACCGCTTGGTTGGGAAGCACAGAGTTCAGAGATGGGTACAGTCTCAGGGGGAAGGAATGGGTATCATCTGTAGGGAGAGTGTCACTTCACTGAGACAGTTGTTGATTGCTTGGTGCTCAGAAGAGCTGGTACTGCAGGGAGTCCGACCCTGGCTGGCTGACTCTGACCAGATAGCTTGCCAAGCTTTTACTGAAGTAAGCTGTCAATGAGCCATTGAACAAGTTTGAAACTAGTTCTGACAGCTATTTTTATCATGGTACTTGGTAAACAATCTGTTCTTTCCCAAGTTTATAGGAACGTTTTTACTTTCAGGTATTGTCCACAGGAGAAGAACATTTTTATCATAGGCTATTCTTAGCAAAGACTGGACAACATGGGTACTTATGACAACATTTCTATTAGGATGATAGCTTTTGGATGACCAGTGATACAAGAGTGCAGAAAAATCTCTCATCAACATTAAAACAGATGAGATGTGTTTCTGACTTTTTTCCCCCTCCTTTTCCCATTTCAATGCGTTCCATGAATCTGGAGTCTAACTAGAGAATTTGTGTGGAGGATATTCAGTTCATTTTACTGGACAATTTGCGGTTTTGTCTTTGCAATAAACACCAGTAACTTCTTCTCATTTTTATCACAGGCTATTCTTAGCAAAGACTGGACAACATGGGTACTTATGACAACATTTCTATTAGGATGATAGCTTTTGGATGACCAGTGATACAAGAGTGCCGAAAAATCTCTCATCAACATTAAAACAGATGAGATGTGTTTCTGACTTTTTCCCCCTCCTTTTCCAATTTCAATGCGTTCCATGAATCTGGAGTCTAACTAGAGAATTTGTGTGGAGGATATTCAGTTCATTTTACTGGACAATTTGCGGTTTTGTCTTTGCAATAAACACCAGTAACTTCTTCTTAGATCTCTCATACAGATAAACAGGGAACTGAAAGTATTAACAGAACACCACACTTGGCTTGTCCTCAGAGGAAGTCTGTCTCCTGTACCTAACACGCACAGCTGCAGGACGTGCTGAGATGCCCCTGCTCTCCACCCGCCCCCACATGCTGATTCTCTCATCTATGAACATGCGGTAGAAATTCTTCGTGAATCAGAAATGGAAGAGTTTGGATTGGTGCCCACATTTCCCTTAACTCACATTACAATGCCCTACAACTCTTATTTTACTCTTTTGTGTCTTGCTGTTTTGTAGATTTCCCATGAGAGATCAACAGTTTGGCCAGACTGTCCCCCTAGCTAGTGAGGAGCACACTAAAACTGTTTAATTCAGTCTTCTGCATAAAATAAGGGAAAGATGAGGGCAAAGGAAACAGAACGAAAAGGCAGAGGGTTTTGCAAAAATGAGTCATTGGGTAAAATCAAAAGCCACATAGCTTTGCCCTGGCATCTAGTCTTCAAGACCTGCCCTGGGCTCCTGGCTTCTCTTCAGTCACCAATCCCCCTGTATCCTCAGCCTTCCTGGGTCTTGAAATCCAGTGGCCTTTCCTCAGTGCACACCACCCCTGAAGGGTTGGGAACTTTCACTGGCAGGTCATCTCCCGCCTCCAGGTTATTCTTCTAAGAGGCAGGCCAACATACCAGCAGGTAGATATTGGACCTCGGAGCCAAATTCCTGGGCCCTGGTTCAGCTGCTACATTATTGGGCAGATGATTTGCCTTATCTGGACTCAGTTTCTGTATGGGTAATTTTGGGATAATAACAGTGCCTACCTCATCATATTGTCATGAAGATTAAAAGACTGTAAAACAATACTGAATGGACACAGTAAGTACTGGCTAAGGGCTTGTAATTGCTATCCTGGAACCCGCTTTCCCTGGTCTCTGGCTTCTCCATAGCACCTTTCTCCAACACACTTCCACTTATCTGAGGCGTCCCCAGCTCCCTCTTCCACCTTCTCGCTAGCAACACCTACTTTGTGAACTAATTAGTTCCACTATGCCAGGGACTCTCCCCAGACTCCTAAGTGACCTAGATCCTCCCTAGATCCCTCACTCCCTTTTCTAGTAGATTTGCCACAAATCTAACTCATAAAATCAGTGCCTTCCCTTTTAAACTGGATCCTTTTTCCCTCACTCATTTATGATGATGTCATTCTGACTCTTCCAACCTCCAAAACTCACTCTCTCCTTCTTCTCCTAGTATCTTAATTTATTACTAAACTCAGTTGTTCTTCCTTTAACTTCATTTAGATTTTCTCATTCCAGTGTATTCCCACCACCACCACTCAGGCCATCCTTACCAGAGACAGTCATTAAAAAGCTTCATAAGGGGGACCAGCAGTTAGTGTAATGGCTATGTCACTGGACTCCCAAGTTGTCGACCGTGGTTCAAGTCCCAGACCAGGTAGCTTAAAACTCATGCTGGGCACATGTGCGTGCGTTCCCAAGATCCCTAGAGGAAAATGGAGGAGAAAGGATTGCAGCATGGTCATCCCCCCTGGGGGGTGATTTCTTGCTTTCTGTCTCTCTGTCTCTCTCTGTCTTTCTGGTGAGTGCATGTGCCCTATAACAAAAACCTCTC